GGGGGGGGGGGGGGGGGGAACCGATGCACACGGGCATGCAGGTGAGGTGAGGTGAGGTTGTATTTGTTGATTGATTCTGTGGCGGGATGAGATGAGACGCAAGAGGTGCCTGTCGGTCGGCCTGTTTTCTTTCTTCTAGCCTGTTTGTCAAGGACGTGGATGGATGGATGGATGGATGAGTGCGTGTGGTGAGGCATTTGGCTTTTCTTTCTTTGCTCACAGACAGACAGACTCGCCTGCTAGTCCGTTAGTGGTTTGGACACGTACGTACGTATTATGTGTTATGTGTTATGTATGTGTGTGTGGTGTATGTGTGCATAGGTGCGTACTAGTGGTGTGTGTACGTGGTTTCATCAATCAACACATGGTCATTTTCACCCACAGTCAGCAGCCACAGTTGGTCTCACAGACTCACTCCTCATACACGGCTCGACTCTCCCCATCTCCCTCCCTCCCGTACTCGAGTAGTCACCCCTGCAGCAGATTGCTAAGCATGCCCATCAGGCCGCCCGACGCATTGGCGTCCTTGACGCCAAACACGTCCCCCTTGATGACCTCCAGGTACCTCGCGAATGAGGGGTCTCGCCTGAGCACCAGCTGGTACTTGGTCTGCACCATCAGGAAGAAATCCCAGTCGTTGAGCCGGCACGCCTCGGCAAGCAGATAGGCAGCCTGGAGGGCCGGCGGGAGGCCGGGGTCATCCAGGTCAGACCCGATAAGTGATTCGACGAATGTAACTGCGGTGGGAATGTCGTTCATGGAGAGGACCATGAGGGTGGTGCGGAGGGGGAAGAGCGGCGCCTCGCTGGGGTAGGCCTCGGGCTGCCACTCACGCACCATCGCCGCCAGGTCACAGCCGTCCTTGCCAAACACCAAATGAAGCTGCACGTACCGTACGTACGCGACACACAGCACAATCGACTGATTCTTGACCAGTCTCTCTCTGTGTCGGTGTGTGTTCGTGTTGCCGCCTACCTGAGCACTCCCGAAGTCCTTCTCTGCCCAGTATGCCTTGCCGGCTGCCGTGTGTAGCATCGGGTGGCCATTCGGGTAGGGGCTCTCCGCCCCCTCCTGCCCCTCGAGTGGTGTTGTCGACGTCCACTTGATGGCCTTGTTGATGAAGCGGTACTTCTCCTTGGTCGAGTGGGGCGGGCAGGCCTGGAACAGGGCCACGATCGTCTCTAATCGCTCGGCGGTGACGCAGGGCAGCCTGTCGGCCTCCTCTTTCCAGAGGTCGATGAGTGTGATGGCCAGATCTGCGGTCAGGCCGTACTGCTCCTTGGCGGCAAACTTGAGGGCGAAGTCGGCGCACAGCGAGGCCGCCTCGTCCCTCTTACCGCGGGCTGTGAGGCGGGAGATGTAGCTGGTGAGCACCTGGTGCGCGTCGTAGAACTGGCCGCGATTGATGCGCTTGTCAATGTTGGCTGCGGTTGTCATGCTGCTTCGCTGGCTGATTGGATTGGATTGGTGGCTATCTTGATGCATTCATTCGAAGTGCTCCTGACGCATTTTTCGCTTGTCGCTCTAACCCGTTTTGACCTTGGAGCCTTTGCGATCGCACCTGTCCACCTTTCTTTCCCAAAATACACGCCATCACTTTCGTCTTTACAGTAGCAACACGCACAACAGTCTACACAAGGTAAGCAGCCACAAATCCCATCCCTATATTATGTACACAGCAGCCCATAGTTCCCCTTTCTCTCGCGATGATGAAAATGGAAGCGCATCAGCGTCACGCAAACAGCAAAACATTCGCAGGGCGCTGTGAAGCTCTGCCTTTTCGTTGTCCGCGGTCAGCTGAGGCACATCCATCTTTTTCATCACACAAGGAACCGAGGAACGGACAAGGCAGACGGACAGACGGTGGAAGGCACAAGACAGAGATAAGATCAAGGAAGCAGCCAATTGCACCCAAGGCCAACTGCACCCAGGGCCAGCCAGGAAAGCCAGCAGGCAGGCAGAGCGACGTCCTGCCCTGGCTGAGTGAGTCACTCGCCCATGAACTTGTAGAAGAATTGCATGTTCCTGTGGCCCCACTCGAGCCTGAAGCACCCGTTGCCATCGAAGGAGAACCCGATGCACCGCTTCGTGATGACGCCGTCGAAGTCGCTGGGGAACCGCCCCAACAGATCCCTGTACTGATCGCGAGTCACCACCACACCACCTGCACAGCACACAATCAAGCGTCACACGTGTACGGAAAGAAACCGTCTTCGTTTGCCTCTGCCTCTGCCTCATTCGCCCGCTTCGCTTCACCTGTCCGATTGGCGAGAATGAGCAGCGCAATATCGTCATAGCTATGCAGCGGCCCCGGCGGCATGGGCATTTGCATCCCCTCGTGGCCGCCACCGTCCGACCCCTCGAAAGCACCGGTGTGCCACACCTTCTTCTTGGCGTATGGCACCAGGATGCGCTTGTCGATGGCGTCCAGCTTCTCCTTGTACTCGTAATTGGCTACCGGCACCCCCGGTGCGCCGCTGGCAGTGGTGGCGATGGGGCGGCGGAGGTACTTGTCCTCAACCAACGCGCGGACACTGTGCTTGTCATACCCTCTGCACACACACACACACAGACACACAGACAGAAACGAGCGGGTGTGTGCCTTTGTTGGCCTTTGTTGTGTGTGTGTGTGTGTGTGTGGTGGGTGATGACGTGACCGCACCGCTTCAGGAACCAGCTGACGGCCCTGTAGAGGAGTTTGTAGTCGAATGGCGGCATGTCCTTGTGCTTGTGCGAGAAGCGGGCGACGTTCGATGCGTCGAGCAGGACGGGCCGCCGGTGGCCCATCTCGAAGTTGGGCTGCGGGAAGGGATGATACGATGCCGCCGAGTCGGCATCGTAGCGCTCGAAGCTCAAGGTCTTCTCGAAACGGATATCATCATTGACGGGATCATCGTTGGTCTGCGCTACGCTCCTTTCTGCTGCGGAATGTGTATCCATCTCTCAGGCATACGACTTTTGAGCTCGCCTTCGAGCTCGCAGTTTCTTCGCGGGGAGAAAGGAAGGAGAATCGGAGCTTCCCGTGCATCGTTGTGCTGCCGGAGGTGGCAGCGGTTTGATTGCAAGGCAGATCTGGTCACTTGAGCCACCTGTCTGTCAAAGATCGGTAAGAAGCGAACGACGAGTTGGTCCATGCTGCTGTTTGTGCAGATCTCTGTCGATTTGTCCTCCTCTCTGTATGGCCGGTGTGTGTCCAGGTGGCTGTCTGCACGCACGGCGAGTCGGCTGTGGGTGAGATCGCATCTGCGTTCCTCTCGAGATTCTGTGCGTGCGCCGTGGTGTGCGGCCTGCGAGGGGGCATCATCGCCTCACACACACATTGTGCAACAGCGTTGCTGGCGTGGCATCACTGGCGAACGGCAACACGAGCGGCAACATGACGACATTCCATCCAGGTCTGTCGCCGATCGATGTGGGACGGATGAATGGACGGCTGCAGTGCAGTGGCTGGTCTGGGTTGTGTGTGTCACGTGTTTGCAGTGTCTGACCGGGTGTGCTTCCCCGAGGAAGAAGAGAAGACACTGCAGGTCAGTGGAGTGGAGTCGACCTGCGGGCAGCTCATCTGCTCTGAGATTACATGCGCCTGAGTGAATGATTGAGGGGGTGTGTCTGTTGTGTGGATGGGGATGGGATGGCCGTGTGGGTTGCAGTATTGGCAGCAGATTGACGCCTTCAAGACCAGCTACCAACAGAGTGTCGATGAGGGCCGGCCCGTCTACCGCTTCTACGACGGACCACCATTCGCCACCGGCCTCCCACACTACGGACACATTCTCGCTGGAACCATCAAAGTACCATTCATCAACCACAACGCACAGACAGTCCATCCACCATTGTGTGTGTGTTTGCGGTGGTCATTCATTGTGTCTGTGTAGGATGTGGTGACCCGTTATGCGCACCAGAGTGGGTATTGTGTGGAGCGTCGGTTCGGGTGGGACTGCCACGGGCTGCCCGTAGAGCACGAGATCGACAAGAAACTCAATGTCAAGTCCAAGGAAGACGTTCTCGCGGTGAGAGAGAGAGTGACCTGACACGCGCTTCACACACACACACACACACGTGTCGACACGTCAGTCAATATAGGCTCATCGGCCTGGCCCTGGGTCTGGCCGTGTGTCAGATGGGTATTGGTGTGTACAATGAGGAGTGCCGGTCGATCGTCATGCGCTACTCAAAGGAGTGGCAGCAAGTCATCGGTCAGCCAGCCACTGCATGGTCGTGTTGTGTTGTGTGATTCACCCGCTTAATGAATCGCTGATTGATTGGTCGTCGACACAGAGCGTATGGGTCGGTGGATTGACTTTGAGAACGACTACAAGACACTCGACATCTCATTCATGGAGTCTGTCTGGTGGGCCATTTAAATGCAACTGCACACACACAGACAGACAGACAGTATCCTGTGTCTTTGTGTGCTTGTGTGTGTGTAGGTGGGCGTTCAAGCAGCTGTTCGAGAAGAAACTCGTCTACAGAGCATTCAAAGTGCGCGAGTGACGCGACGACGGACGACGGATGCCGATGGTGTGTGTGGTCCACACAAACAAACAGGTGATGCCGTATTCGACTGTGCTGTGCACGCCGCTCGCCAACTTTGAGGTCAACCAGAACTACAAAGACATCTCAGACCCCTCAATCATCGTCGCATTCCCGTAACACACCACACACACTGGACGAGTGGAATGGTGTGTGTGGTGCGGGTATTTCAATCGTTCGTCGGTGTGCGGTGTGCAGGTATGTGGATGAGAGCGCTTGTGACTTTCTGGCGTGGACGACCACCCCGTGGACGCTGCCGTCCAACCTGGCCCTGTGCGTCAACCCGCACTCGACCTACCTGAGGGTCAAAAACAAAAAGACCGACAGGTACGTACGGCTCACACACACACACAGACACACACACACAGACAGACAGACAGACAGACAGAGAGGCGCGTGTCTGTGTGTGTGGGTATGGCGACATGTGTGTGGCTGCAGGGAGTGGGTGTTGATGGAGGCGCGTCTGCCGTGGGTGTGCAAGGAGCTCAAACTCGACATGGACACCGACATCAACATCGAAGACAAATTCCCCGGCAAAGTCCTCGAAGGTCGGTCAAGGCAGGGAGACGCGGATGGACGATGGACGATGACGATCTCCATGTCTGTGTGTCGACAGGCATTCGTTACAAGCCGATGTTTGAGTACTTCAACAAGGGCGTGTGGAAGGAGAAAGGATTCAGGGTCATCACAGGCGACTTCGTCGAAGAGACCGGCGGTCAGACACGCACACACACACGCACACACACACGGAGAGAGAGAGAGAGGGAGAGCGCATCATGTGTGTGTGGTTTATGTGTGTCAGGCACTGGTGTGGTCCACTGTGCCCCTGCCTTTGGCGAGGACGATTACAAGGCATGCGTCGCATTCAAGTGAGCGGACGGACGGACACACCAATCCAATCCAATCAGCCGTCACATTGATTGCATCACAATGAATGCCGGGCCGTTGCTGTGTGCCTCTTTCCGTCCGTCCATCCATCCATTCCCATGGCAGCATCATCGACAAGGAGTCAGGCGCCCTGCCTTGCCCCGTCGATGCCAACGGCAGGTTCACTGACGAGGTACCACACACACACACACACACTCACACACACATAGGCAGACGCGGACACCCTCCCTTCATTCACTGCATGGGTGTGTGTGGATGGGATGCAGGTGCCCGACTACCAGGGGCAGAACGTGAAGGACGCCGACAAGGACATTCGGGTCAGCGCACATCACATGAATGAATGGATCAAGTGCACGGATGCGAGTGAAACGCCCTTCTCTTTCTCTCTCTCGCGCGCGTGTGTGTGTGTGTGTGTGTGTCCCACCACCCAGCGTGACATGAAGGCGACGGGTCGTCTGTTGCTCAACGCCAATGAAGTCCACTCATACCCCCACTGCTGGCGATCCGACACACCGCTCATATACAGAGTACACACACACCACACCACACCACACCACACCGATTCCCCCACCCTTTGCGCGTCGCCCATCTGTGCCATCTGTGCCATTGATTCATCGTCAGGCGGTTCCGTGTTGGTTCATCAGTGTGGAGAAGGTCAAGCACGACATCCTGAAGAACATGGAGCGGACCTACTGGGTGCCGTCATTCGTCAAGGAGAAGCGCTTCTACAACTGGGTCAAGGACTCCAACGACTGGTGCGTCAGCCGCAACAGGTTCTGGGGCACACCCATTCCCCTCTGGCACTCGGACGACTGGAAAGAGATCGTCTGCATCGGTCAGCCAGTGGAGCCAACAGTATGGAAAGGGAGAATCCTCTGTGCTGTGTGCGCAGGCAGTGTGGCTGAGCTGGAGGAGAAGACAGGCAAGAAGATCACAGACATCCACAGGCATTTCATCGACGACCTGAAGATCCCCTCGAGCCGCCCCGGCATGCCAGACCTCAAGAGAATCGAAGAGGTCAGCCTGCCTGCCCCTGAGCCCATTCAACCATATGAATCAGCCCGTCTTGTCTCCGCATATGCCACAACAAACAGGTGTTTGACTGCTGGTTCGAGAGCGGCTCGATGCCTTACGGCCAGGTGCACTACCCTTTTGAGAACGCCGACAAGGTGCGGGGGTGTGAAGAGGGAACAAACACGACCCAAAGGGACACACAAAGGAGAACTGTGTGTGTCAGTTCCGCGAGGGCTTCCCGGCCGATTTTATCGCTGAGGGGCTCGACCAGGTCAGAAGGGATGAGACAGTGGATGCAGGGCAAGCCCTGCATGTACCCGTGTTTGCCTTCATGTCTGGTGCAGACCCGCGGCTGGTTCTACACGCTGATGGTGCTGTCCTCGGCCCTCTTCGACGAGCCCGCCTTCAAAAACCTCATCTGCAACGGTCAGCACACACCCGACCCGTTTTCTCCCACACACCACTCAGAGAAGGGTCCGCGTGTTATTTCTGTTCAGGGTTGGTGCTGGCTGCTGACGGCAAGAAGATGAGCAAGCGTCTGAAGAACTACCCCGACCCCATGAGTGTGGTCAACAACCACGGCGCCGACGCCATCCGGCTGTACCTCATCAACTCCCCCGTCGTCAGGGCGGAGCCGCTGCGCTTCAAGGAGGAGGGCGTGAGGGACGTCGTCAAGGACATCTTCCTGCCCTGGTTCAACGCATACAGGTACCAGACACGTGTGTCTGCAAGGAGAGGAGTGGAACAGCTTGGTCGTTCGCTTTGTGTGGATAGGTTTCTGCTGCAGGAGGTCGGCAGATACGAGAACAATGGTAAGCACGGCAAAGTGTGTGTGCATCGGCCGACCTGCCTTGATGAGTGCGGGTGGCCATCCATCACCCATGTCATGTAGGTGGGAAGTTCCAGGCCGACCCTGCGTTGGTCGAGGCGTCAGACAACGTCATGGATCGGTGGATCTACGCAGCCACACAACACCTGATCCAGGTCAGCCAGCACAGCACAGCACATGGGCAGACACAAGACAAGACACACACAGGCGGACGGATTGACGGATACGTGTTGTGTTGTGTTGTGTGACTGATGGATGCGTGCGTCAGTACGTGGACCAGGAGATGAAGGCCTACAGGCTCTACACCGTGGCACCCAAGCTCGTCGACTTCCTGGAACAGCTCACCAACTGGTCAGTCAGGGCAGACACACAGCGCACACGCATCGGCATACTCGTCCGTGCCTGACAATTCTCTCACAGGTACGTCCGCCTGAACCGTGACCGAATGCGAGGTAGGTGAGCATTTAGAACGAACGGCCATCATTTGATCTGTGCTTGTGTGTGTATGTGTGAAGGTCTGTCGGGTGCTGACGAGACCATCACATCACTGTGCACGCTGTACGAGGTTCTCATGATCATCACACGACTCATGGTACCTACACACCACACACACATACACACACACACACGATGACCTGCCGTTTGTGTGACATATATCCGTCCGTCCGTCAGGCCCCTTTCACGCCATTCTTGACCGAGTATCTCTATCAGAATCTCGCCAGAGCACTGCCCGAAGGTCAGTGAGTGCGCCATTCCATGCGCCATATTCTTGATGCATTGTGGGTGGCATGCTTGCAACGCTTGTGTGTGTGTGTGTGTGCGTGCAGGCCACCCGGACAGGTGTGCGAGTGTGCATTGGGTGAGTCTGCCAAAGGCCAACGAGAAGAGAATCGACGCGCACATCGAAACCAGAGTTGCGCGCATGCAAACCGGTCAGTCTGTCGGTGCTGGAGAAAGGAAGGAGGCAGACCTGCCCTGCCCTGCCCCACAGCCATTTGTTGGGCCCCTTCTGGTATACCCTTTGTTTGTGTCGGTGTGTCTGTCGGTGCAGTGATCGAGCTCGGCCGTCAGGTCCGCGAGAAAAGGAAGGTGTCCCTCAAGACGCCCGTCAAGGAGGTCCGCGTGATCCACGCCGACCCCTCTTACATCGCCGACATTGACTACCTGCAGTCCTACATCAAGGTCAGTCAGTCAGGCCACCCAAAACATTAATGGGAAGGGCACATGAGTGACACACGGCATGGCGTGGCATGGCCCTCCCTCCCTCTGCGTGTGTGAACCGTCCAGGACGAGCTCAACACAATGGAGCTGACACTGTCCACCGATGCCTCCGCCATTCACCTGTCCGCACAGGCAAACAGCCAAATACTCGGACCAAAATTCGGAAAGGAGTTCGGGCCAAGTGAGTGCATCTGACAGAGAGGCTGGCATGGGATGATCGCAACATGGGTCCGTTCTGCCTGCTGGTCAGTTCGAAAGGCCGTGTGTGAGCTGACCCACGAGCAGCTGCAGGCATTCGAAGAGACGGGTGGGTGGGTCGGCACTCTCAAAGCACACGACGAGAGGACACTCAGGTGTGTGGGCGTGTGGCGTGTTTGTTATAGGCGAGATCGCTGTGTGCGGCCACACCTTGAAGCGAGACGAGCTCTTCTTGAAGCGGAGTGCCAAGGACATTGTGACCAACCCAAACCTGGAGGCAGATGGAGACAAGTAAACACACAAGAACTAGCCGCGTGTGTGGATCAATGTGACTGTGTGTGTGTGCCCCGCCCCTGTCTAATTAATTAGTTCTGTGTTGGTCGTTGTCGACTTCACCTCGGACGACAGCCTGCAGACCATGGCACTCGCTAGAGAGGTCACGCACACGCACACGTGACGTACACACACGTGTGTGCACATACAAATGCATCTCTGTCTGTCTGTCTGTCTGTCTGTCTGCTGCCTCCCATCCCTTTTTCAGGTTGCGAATCGGGTGCAGAAGATGCGCAAGAAGGCGGGGCTGAGCCAGGATGACCCCGTGGACATGTGGGCCACACCGGCAGACCTCACTAAGGCACCCAACATCCAAAAGGTATCAACACATACACCCAGCCAGGAAGGAGTATTCACCGTCCGTGCGGCTCGGCAGGTGCTGACCAAAGAGCGCGAGTATCTGCATCGGTGCCTCAGGCGGCAAATGTAGGCATGCACTCGACTCACACTGGCAGGCAGGCCACACGACCCACATTGAGGGTGCGTTGCGGTGCGGCTGTGTCATCCATCATGCAGCTTCGACGGAGAGCAGCGGCAGGGCCACGAGGTCATCATCTACCAAGAGGATGTGACGGTCAACGGTGAGGATCTGAGGGTCGAGTTCACCCTCAGTGGCATCAGGTTCAACGAACAAGAGCTCCGCCGCCTGGCGCAGTCCATCAAGGTGGAGAGCTCCGATGGCCCAGCCAAGGCCAACGGGGTGGCGGCCACTGCTGTCAATGGTGTCGATGGCGATGGGACGGACGGGCTGGTGACGGCGATGAAAGGGTGTCTGCTGTCCTATGAGGTCGAGGAGCTCAAACAGCTCGCTTCCTCAAACAACGGTGTGCAGGCGGCAGATGGGAAGCTGGCATGGGGGTGTTTTGTCATGTGTTCGCGCGTTTGTCAGGTTCCGTGACGTTCAACATTGAGGGCGCTGGCCAATGTGTGCTCATCAGAGACAAGTAAGGGGACCTAGTAGAACCACAAAGGCAGGCCCAGGGCGACCAGCCTGCACCAGTGCATTTGTCTGCAGGCACTGGAGCGCCTAGGACAGGTTCGACAGTGCGTGTGTGGTCGGTTGGTCGGTCACATTGGTTTGTTAGTTTGCCAATTTGTGTGTGTGTGTGTTGGCGTGAGTGGGTGTCGCCGTGGACGCTGAGTGCCTTTGATCAATCAATCAGGAGGCACAGACACACACAGGCAGGCAGACTTCTTTGTTGTGCTGATGGCATGAGAGCAATCAGCATGCAGAGATCATGATCCCCCACCTCATCCTGGCCATGACTTGCAATTGGGCGCCAGCCACGAGCCTTGAAAGAAAGAGCTGCGCAAACTGCCGTGCACTCCGATACGCATGCACCTCTTCGTAGCGATTCCACGGGGAATGAACGACCTCCGGAAGATCGCCGCTCCGGTTCGGGTGGCCCGAAAACTCAAAGCTAAAACGAGGAGCTCTACAGCGGCTCCATTGCATCGACAGACCCTTTCGCGGCTCAAGTCAGCAAGAGTCAGCATGTATCTTCCGCCCGGCTCTGTGCGTCCGACTCTGCCGGCCATCGGCAACAGCAATACGGCACACCATCGCAGCCTTTTCCGTCTCAAGAACGCCACAGGGCAGGCATGCCACTTCAATTCCCTTATGTGGAGTATCTTCAACCTCAAGGCGGTGCGGAAGAGGCTCACCAGGTGAAAGGGAGCTACTTATTGCAGTGGGTGGGGGAGCTGAGCTGCAGGGGGCTGGATTGTCTCATCTGATGATGCCTCTCTTTTGTTCCTTGTGGGTCTTTCTTTGCAGATCAGATGGCACTGAAGCGTCGCCCACGCTCCAGAAGCTAAAAGAGGCCTTTCTCACCATCGACAAAGCCCCCTCCCTTACCCCGGCCTGCCCTCCTCTTTTCGACCTGACTGGCCTGCTCGTCCATCTCGAGAACGCCCTCGAGACGTCTGAGTACCACGTCGACGTCAGAAGCCAACAGGACACCGCCGAGACGTGCACCGCCCTCCTGCACCTCATCGACAGTGAGGAGGCAGCGGCAGGCGTTGCATCCAACCAGCGGTTCGACGCCCTCATCGGCAGCTCATTTGTGAGCCAACTGATGTGCAGTCACTGCTGCGATGACACGGGGAGGGAGGAGTCGCAGCGGATGGTGTCGTTGGGGATCAGTCACGCGATGAATGCCTTCAGAGAGTGGGGGCTGATGGAGCTGGTCGAGGAGACCACTCTGAAACCTGAGCTGATGGAGGCCGCAGCCGGATGCCCCACTTGCGGCCGCCGGCGATACAAACGGTAAGAAGAGACAGACAAAGGGAGACAAGGAAGGCGACGCATGGAAAACCTCACTTTCTTCTTGGTTGATGCGATGCAGGCTGTATTTTGACCTGCCGGGTGACGTGCTGCCTTTCGCCGTGAAGCGCAATCAGATCGTCTACAACAACAATGGTGACATCGATCGGCAGTATCCGAGCCCTCTCCCGATACACCTCCCAATGACACTCACGCTGCCCTCCACCATCGGCCCCCTCACCTATCGACTGTCGAGTGCCCAGCTCCATCACCCAGAGCAAGACCGCGAAGGCAACGCGACGGCCGAAGCAGGCCACTATACGACAATCCTCAGGTGTCTTGAGGACGGGCCCGCCTCAGGAGACGGCGGGGGCAGCAGCAACAGCAGCAATAGCGGCAGCGGCAGCAGCTACTGGGCACTGACAAACGATGCGGCGCCACCCCGCATCATGACGCAGCAGGAGGCGACGGCGTTCCTGTCATCGCAGGAGACGCAGAGTCGGGTGTGTGTGGCGTGGTATGAGAGGGATGAAACCGAGAGCGACGGCGCTTGTGCTGTCCCTCTCTCGAGGGGTGAGAGAGAGGGCGGGGAGAGGGGGGGCAACAGCAACAGCGGGGGGAACAGCAAGGGGATGCCCCACGCCAGACACCATTATGGGGTGCCGTCAGCAAGCAGAAAGAAAGACAGATGGATGGATGGATGAATGGTGGATGGATGTATACCTGTCTGTCTGTCTCTTTGTGTGTCTGGCACGCTACGCACACAGGTGCCATACACATACACGGATGAAGAGCTCTTTCCCGCCCTGCGGCCATATCCAGGCCTCCCGCGCGTCATTTACCCGCCATTTCCGCCGCCCCCCAACAACCCCAAGAAGCCATCGCACAAGAAGGCCACACGCCCGCAGCTTGTCCGTCCAATGACCACCGAGAAACCCAAGGTAGACTACATGGCATCACTCGGCAAGAGCCTGACGAAGCTGGTGAAAGCGATGTTCCCGCCGAGGCAGCCCAACTTCAAGCTGCCTCCTCCAGAGGTCTTGTTCCCGCCCCCTCGGCCATATCCAGGCGGCCCCGTGGTGATGGTGGGTGAGACGGTGCTGCCTCTCGTCGTCCCTGTGAGAGCTGGCGTCCTTCCCACATACCACGTGAGCACCTTGTCTCCCGTCATGGTCCGGTGAGGACGAGGGACGGTACGAGGGGGGGAGATAGTGGTGGGTAGGCGTGTTAGTATAGCTCTGACGGGGGGAAACAGTCTGTCTCATAGGTTCCACCTTACCTTAGTGGGTTTAGGAGTGGCTGGCTGGCTGGCAGAGAGGATTTCAGTCCTAGCTGCCTACCGTGCATCTCTCTCTACAGACACATCACATCCAGCCACTGACGGTACATGTGTGCAGGACAGGACCTGCTGCCGCCATAGATATGGTATGTCTCCGTTTGTTTGTGTGCCATGGATGCGATGGATGCGATGGATGCGATGCATGGCAGCGGGACCGGCCGCATGTATTACATGGACATCTGCCTGTACGTGTGTTGGATGGGATACATGAGCCGCATGACGTGACCTGTCTTCGCTACTTGAATTGATTTCAACCTCATGTCAATCTTGCAGCTGTTCCTCTCTGTATGGATCCCTCTCTCTGCCTGTCGCGCCTTGGACAGGTTCAACAGTGCGTGTGCGGGTGCATTCATTCGCATCGTCCATCTGCACACTAATGTCTGTCTGATTTCTCATCCCATCCATCCCCCTAACTCGTTCGTCGGTTAGCTCTAAAATCAGCCGGCGAGCCAAGCCAAGCCCTCTCAGACAAATCTCCCGCCACCCATGCAATACAACACGACACTCATCCACTCCACGTGTCTGTCCATCCATCGTCTTGTCAGTCAGTCATCCTCGATGGGAATTTCCCAGGTGGGGTTCTTGGACATGCTGTCGAACGTGTCGCCGAACTGCTTCTTGTACACCTCGTCCTCATCCTGCAGCTCCAGCACCACATCAGACCTCGGGTAAGACACGCAGGTCAAGGCATACCCCGCCCTCTCCATCTCCCGCGTCAGCCCGATCTGCGGGTCCATCTTGACCTCCCCCTCCCTCACGCGCACCGCACACGTGGTGCAGCACCCATTGCGGCACATCTTCTTGATATTCTTGATCGGCGGCAGGTTCCGCGACTCCTCAAAGGAAAAGAAAATGTACCGGTCCTCGGGCACATCCTGGGTGTGCCGCTCGCCGCTGACCGGGTCGATGATGGTCACCTTGTACGTCTTGGCGTTTGGGTCGCCCGGCCAGGGCCCGCCCTTGTATGGCTTGATCCTGTCGCCCATCTCCCACTTCATGGGCGTGTCGTCGGCGTCACCATGCCATGGCCGGTACTCGCGGTCCTGGTGGAACCGGTAGGGGGAGGCCTCCTGCCATGACGGCTGCTGCTGCTCCTCCTCTGACTCGTCATCGTGTTGCGCATCCTCTTCTTGACCCGCATCTGCAGCTTCAAGCACATCAGCTGCTGCGGTGGTCACGTCGGCCGTCTTGCTGACAGTTGAGGAAAAGAGCCGGCTGCTGCTGCTGCCGCGGCCATGAGTCGTCAGCCGTAGTAGATGAGGCGGCCTCAAAGCAGCCATAAGGGGGATGTCGTTGCGGAGCGTTGATGACAGCGAAGAGGGGACGGTGAAGCTGCGGACGAAGGGCAGCGCCAGAAGGCCGCAGAGCCAGCACCAGCACAAGAGCGAACACGCCAACATCATGCTTGTCAGAGGGACAGCGCAGATCTTGTCGTATGGGACATAGGTCTCGTCAAGCGTTCCCGCCACATGCCGTGGCACAGCAGCGGTTTCAGGTGGCACCCTAGGCTGCCTGACGGCTGGCGCAAGTCTGGAGAAACACAATAACCAACCGACCAACCAGGCATGAAATACGCTTCAGATCTCGCCATCAGTTGAGAACAGCTGCTGCTGCTGCTGCTGCCGCAGATCTCCCATCTCCATTCGCCGGCACCTCACGCCAGTCACGATGCAGCCCACTGGTGCACCGCCCTTACCCCGTCCCCCCGGCCCTCCCCTTTGCCAGCCACCGAAGATGCTTGACATCACCATCAGCAAGGCAGCCCGCATGGCGAGGTCGCCTCTCTGCTCACAGATCGGCACTTCAACTCGGCACGAACAGGAGCGGCTGGGTGACGCGTGAGAGAAGCACCGCCGCGAAAGATTGGCCGCCCGCCAGTCGTCTGCGACCAGAGGCGGTCGGTTTGATCCTGCCCGTCTCTGTCTAAGCAACCAGTGCCTGCGAGAGGCCGAGTGCGTCATCGAGATGCGGAGCGCGGCCTGGTGCGGCTTACACCCTTTCTCGCCGTGCTGCGACCTCCAGAGCCTCTCGCAGATGAGGGAGCCGGCGGCACTTGGCACGGGCGACGATGATCCTGTTCCGCTGGAGATGGACTCTCCATCACCTTACGCAGTGTCGGTGGTGTCCGTGGAATCGGGGGTGTGCGAGAGTCGGCTTGACCTTGAGCAGAAGGTCGGCCTCGAGTCGACCGTCTCGGCCGAGACAGTCGGCAGCCTCGACAAGGCTCAGTGGGGCTTTTACGTGCTTCAGGTCGGCAGTCTTACGTTCTGGTTGGTGGACCGGCCCTTCGTGTACTGCACCCACGGCTGGGTGATCCCGCTGTTCTCCGTCTACTGGCTGCTGGGAGCGATCTATGCCTCCCCAGCCCTGCCCGCGTGGCTCTCCGCCGTCATCTTGGCCTTCGTCCCTGCCGTCTGGCTTACAACTCTCGTGGTCAAGCAGCTGCCTCCCCGATCGCGGATCGTCATGCCTGCCCTCACCATTATGTTCATCTACTCGGGGCTCTGCGTGGCCGCCCCATATTTCTCGCCCTTTGGGGCGTTCAACACCTTCTTGTGGATGGTACGCGAGTTGATCGTGAATGTTGTACGTCGTGGGAAGCTGGAATGTTGTACGCCGTGTCCGTGTCTCAGGTGGGAGCTGCCTTATTCTTCGCCCATATGTTTGCCCATGTTGCCGTGCCGAGAGCCTATCCAGTGCCTCCTCCTGCCGCCTCAGACTCTAGCGCACCTTCGTCCCGCCACACGAGCCGTTGGTTCCGCGTGCAGCCGTCGGCTAACGCGTCGCAGTACAGCCTGCCGGCCTACGAAGCTTCCGCGCTCTTTCAGTTTGTGCGACGCGCCGTCTACCAGAATCCCTGGCTGACCCACTGCCCTCAGGTGAACGCCGTCGCAGTTGAACGGCTCGTCCGATTTGCCGGTTGGGCGATTATGGGGATCGACTTTGTGTCGGACCTCGCGTTGGGCCTCGAGTTTATGGCTCGCGGCCTTATAGGGGTAGGGATCGTCATCATCGCATGTGCTATGCCGGATGCCGTGACGCAGAATACGCAGTACTACATGCGGCCACTCGAGACTCTGACGGTGCGCCAGAGCCTATTGGTATTCGGCCTGGCGGTCATTGAAGTGCCGATTGTGGTGTTGGCTTTGGTATACGGGCCTGGAGGCGATACGGCCCTCTACGCGATATCGGCGGCCTTGGCGAGCGCGATGGTGCTGGTGCGAGGAGGGCTGCTCACTGCGAGGCTGCTGGAAGTTCACCGGGGAGACGGCGAAAAGAAGGGACCCACAGCCAGGGGCTAGCTGACAGACGATGCTGATGGTGTTTTGTTGAAGCTGTGATGACCAGTGTTGGGAAGGACTGAGGGAGAGAGGCCCCCTACAGAGCATCGTACGAAGGAAGGCAGGCAGGCAGATGGGTGTACATGTGGCTGATCTGGGTCCTCCATGGATGTCTGCCGAGTGAGATGATGCATGCAGCTGTTCTCCCAGCCCAATGGGTCAGAGGATTTTGGTGCGTACCCCTTCGCGTCTATGTACGTCTATGCAAAGAGCGGGGACCGACTTTTTGTTGGCATTGGTGTTTCTGCTTGTGTAGGAGGGACTGTTTGACAGGAGCAGTATCCTTTCTGGATGTGCTTGAATATGTATTCTTTGACTGTGCTGAAGGGCCTGTCTGTGTACAAATGGAAAGGTGTGTATACCAGACACGCATCACTGAAGTGTCTGTCTGTCGCGTCCATCCATCCATCCCTTCTAGCTATGCAGCTAGAATCAGGCTGCAGTGAGTGGTGATATGAGTGATATGGTCCTTGTTCGTGTCTTTATGGAAAGACAGACAGACAGACAGACAGTTTTCGCCAAATTGCCCTACACGACCGGGTCGGCCGCTGACAACCAGACGCGCACCTTGGGGGTCTGGGTTGGTTGTTTTGACACCTTTCCCTTTTCATTGTGTCTTTTTGCGTGTTGTGTTTTCCATGGGAACACATGGGAACACACTGGATGCCATTGGATGGATGGATGGATGCATGGACGGGTCAATGGGCGTGGCGTGCCTATCTGTCTTTGCATCCCAGCACTGCAAAGATCATAAATATGTTATCTATGTGGGTGCGGTGTGTGCATCTCTCTCGGAACATGAATCAACCGCATTGTGTGTGACTGACAAATAGAGACATCCACTCACTCACTCCATGAAAAAGAGCCACGGCGCTCGTCTCGTCATCGCAACCAATGACCTCCACCGCCCATGCACACATACAGTACACTGACCGACTGACTGAAGCAGACACAGGCCAGCCTTCGATCACAGCTCGTCTCGTCCCATCTGCCATGCCACCAGCTTGAGTGACAATTACCCACCAACACACCACACCACAACCAGCCGTCCAGCCGGGGGCACACACCTCGCCCATCGATCACGCCTGCCCTCCTGTCGGATAAGCATGGTAACACAGAATGCGCCTGACACACGCACACACACAGAGAGAGAGAGAGAGAGAGACGGTCCGTCTCATCCCGTTCCAATGCATGAAGGCATTCATTCCGTCCGTCCCACAGCACTCACTGACTGACTCCCTTACTTGTTCTGCGTCATGACATATATGCGGAGGTAGGGCGTCTCCATCTGCGGCCCGCCCATCAGCCCGAAGGGCATTGGGTGAGACGCCAGACCCTCACCCTCCCGCTCCCTGTCCAGCGTCACATAGTCACGGGCGCCGGTGCCACCCTCCTGCCCCTCTCGACGACCCACAATCGCAGCCACGGCCACGCCACACAGCGACTCGTACCACCCCTCTGGACGCTGCTGCTGCTGGCCCCTGCCGTCGTCTTGCTGCTCGTCAGCTGTGGGGATGGGAATGTGGTCGCCGGCCTCTGTCACGACATGGGGCTCGTCATGGGCGGCGTCGCGTGGCCGCCTTGCCTGTCCAGTGGCGGTGTCCTGCACGGCAGCCGTCAGACCTAGCAGACGGCCTAAGAGCGCCGCCCCTCTGCCGCGATGGGGGGACCCTTCTGCCCCCTCACCATCCTGCTCTCGCGCTGGCCTCTCCCGCCGCAGCAGCAGGGTGCGCTGGCCGAAACGGACCGCCATCTCGCTCGCAGTAGTGTCGCCCCCATTGCCGCCATTGCCGCCATTGCCGCCATTGCCGGAGACGGTGCCGGGGTCGACTTGTCTGCGGTAGTCCATGACGCGGCAGTTGGCCTTGAAGTAGAGCCGTTGGGTGTGCTTGCAGCGGATGATTGAGTAGACTAGGACGGGGGGGCCGCGCTTGGATGCAGTGACAAGGACGCCCAGCTGCGGGACCCACTCGAAGAAGGAGAGTCTGTTGAGGCCGCCCACCTGGAAGCGGGTGGGCTGCCCGGCCCACACGTTCATCACACGAGCCTGGGTTATGTATGGGTGGACACATAAACAAACAAACGAAGAAGACGTGTGTCTTGGTTGGGTGCGTCATTCTGTTCGCTGGTTGGCTGGTTGATTGCTCTAACACCCACCCACCTTGAGGCTGAGAGTGCATCGATACCCTCCCCCACCACCACCACCACCACCAGCCCCACTCGCAGATGACGCGGCGGGCTCGTCCATCTCTGCCGTCCGTTGCTCGTCGGCTGCGGCCAGTCGCTGCTCCTCCTGGTCAGCCACCTCCATCATGATCTCGCGCATTGTCTGGCCCCTCTCACCCTCGCTCTCGGCCTCACCACCACGAGCCGCCCCCTCCCCACCTCCACCACCCCCACCTCTGAATGGCTGCAGACATCGGCTGACCGCATCTTTGAGCCTCTCGGCCACCCTCTTGCCGCCGCCGTCGATGTGTGCGTCGGTCTGGTTGAAGTCAGGCTTCATCAGATAGAGGGCCGCCTGAGATGACCCCACTAGCAGCCAATCGGAGAGCCGCCTGGCCTCGCCCGCAGTGACGGTGGGCGTGGTGTGTGTGGCGGCGTGCTGGGGGGCGGCATGGCGCATGTGGAAGGGCCCGTTGAGGCTGTAGTCGATGGTCTCGTCGTCGGAGGGCTCCTCTCCGCCGTCGTCTTGGACGACAACCATGTCGTGGGGGCTGCTGTCGTCCTCGCCGCCATCGTCGTGCTCGGGATGGTCGCCGTGCACGAGCGCCTGGTGCCAGTCGTCAGGCACCTGCAGGTGGGCGGGGAACAGCGCCGCCAAACTGATGGGCGTGCAAGGGAGAGAGAGAGAGAGTGACAACACACACATCCACATCACAGCCAAGTGGGTGGATGGATGCGTTCCTCTCTCTGCGATCGCCCACTTACTCTATCGGCTCGTGCAGCGCGTCCTCAGGGCGGGGACGCAGCGCGTCCGCCCAATGGGCGTCTGCATCCGCATGAGGCGCCTCTGCGTCCCCGCCCTGCGGCTCGCCACCCTCGTAGCTGTCCATCATGCCGTTGTCGGCCCCCTCCTCCTCACCCTCCGCCTCACGCGCATCCATGAAGGCGTCCTCAGAGCTTTCTCCATCGTCATGCATCTCCAATGCCGACCGGTCGCCGTTGCGGATCTCCGCCAGGATCTCGTGCACGGCCTCGCTGGCTCGCCTGAAGTCCTCTTCGCTCATGGGATGAGGTTCCCCCGACGATGATGCTGCTGCTGCTGCTGCCGGTGCAGGTGCCTCGTGGCTTCTCGTCTGCTCTTCCTCGGCTTCTGCTGCCTGTCCTGGTTGATCGGTGTTCCCTGCACCGATGTCGCCACTAGGTGCCGGCGAAGCGGCAGCATCGCTTTCTGGCCTCACCCGTGCCAGCACCAACACGTGATGCGGCCGGGACGGCTCGTCTGGTGGGTGTGGGACGGCGTCTGTCCTCTCGGGCGTGCCCGCAACGAGTCGCTCCTGGTGCTCCCGCCGCGCCGCTATGAACTGCCCGATTGAGTAGCGCCGCTCATGGATGCCGCCGTCTGCCGCAGGCTCATCTGATGATGCCGCCGCTGGTGGTGGTGGTGGTGAGTGTGTTGGGCTGAGAGGGTCGTGCTCTGAGGGGTTGAGAGAGAGTGCGGAAGCGGGCCGGGGAGGTGTGTGTCTGTCGCTGCTGCTGTGGCCGTGGTCGGGGGGCCGGTAGGGTGTGGTCTCGGGGGTGGAGGGGAGGGAGGGGGGCAGCCTGTCCGCTGCTGCCTGCCGAGCCTGCATTCATTCAGTCATCCATCCATCCATCCATCCATGGAAAGATAAAGGAGCGTGTCTGTGTCTGTCTGCTTGATGTGGTATGTGTTGTGCAATGACCTCACCCTATGTCTCTCTGCGGCCGGGAAGGAGGACGAGTGTGCGATGGCTGCCGCGGAGGGCAGCATCTCGCGCAGCTCGGACTCGATGGCCGCCTGCAGCGTCGACCGAAACTGTGGATTCTGCACACATTCAGACATGACATCAACAAAACGGAGAGCATACCAGGAGGATCTGCTGTATTGCGTGCACACGTGTGTGTGTGTGTGTGGGGATGGTCACCATGAAGAGGCCAAATGCGTATTCGTCGCCGATTTCGTTGCCCAGCTGCTGACGGGTCAGCAAAGACGATGATTGACTACCCCTCTGACACACGCGCACACCCACACCCACACCCACACACACACACATGCAGCCAATACAAACTACATGCACACGCCTCTCCCCTCCCCTCTCTCTGTGCCACCCACCCACCCGTTCTTCAATGGCCCTTCTGATGAGGGGTCGCCTGTATGCCCTCTCCATCTCATTGGGAAACCTCTCCAGCCACTGCGCTATCAGCGGATGGATCTCATTCCGATTCAGCAGCCGACCCACGCGCAGTGGAGGACACCCCAGAAAGATAGGACCACCACCTCCACCTCCACCTCCACCACCGTCCCTCGACAGCTCCGAAAATGACCGTGCGATGACCGATGACGACTGCCGCTGAGACTCGCCATCTGCCGATACTGCTGCTGCCGCTGGGGGCGGTAGGGGTGCGATGGGAGGTGTTCTGCGCCACCTGGATGTGCGCATGAAGGGCGCCCTGAGGGGCGGGTGCGGGTGTGGGTGGCCGGCCAGGTCTGCCAGAGGCCCTGTGCGTGTGAGGGAGGACCATGCTAGCCGCATTCGGGGGGGCAGCCGGAGGCTGCGAGAGAGGTCGACCTGAGTGAAGGTCGGTAGGAGAACGGACGAGTGTGTAGGTGTGTGTCATGGTTGGCTGTGTGTGGTGTGTGTGTACCTCAGGAATGTCGTCTTTGTGGACCCATCGAATGCCCCACCCCCACTCGGCGATGCGATAAATGCCCAAACACTCACCACGAGCAGCGTGCCTACACACACACACACACACACACATCCATCCATCCCCTCCACGCCCCACGTGGCCCACTCTGGTACCACAGCCGAAAGGTCCCATCTATAGAGGCCGATGCCAGATAGTCGCAGCTCTCCGGATACCCCGGGCAGTAGGCGATAGACGGGATGTTGTGGCCATGCCCCACCAGCCGGTGCGGCGTCTGGTCCTCAGAACCGCTCAGATTCCACTCAGTGACCACGTGGGCGTTGCTGCCCACGGCGAGGATGGGCCCCTGTGAGGGCCTCGGGCGGGCGGCCGCCGAGATGCTCCAGGTGGAGTCGTCCTCGTTGGTGTAGACGTTGTGGAAAATGATGGGGTCGCGGTTCTCGCGGATGAACTGCAGCGGGTAGATGCGCACCTGATGGACGGCACGGACACAAGAGACAGGGCCATTCTCTCTCCCTCTCTGTGAGTGAGTGAGTGGATGGGTGGACAGACACCTGCGCCCGCATGGTGACGACGATGAGGCTCTCGGTGTCGCCGCAGATCTCGACAGTGATCTGGTTGATCTCCCCCGCCTCCTCGTCGACCTGCAGCCAACGCCACGGAGCCGGACCCTCCTGCAAACGATCTGACAGACAGACAGACAGATGCGCAGGTACACAGACCAATGCACACACAACCGGGTTTGTCAGTCAACATCACTCACCGGCCGGCGGCAGCTTCTTTCTCTTCTTGGGCGGCATGTTTGCAGGGTCGTCGATAAAGCGGCCGGTGGACCGGCTCACCCGGAACACAAACACCTGATGGATTGATTGACGCACACAGACGGGGAGAGAGAAAAGGAGGAGCACGTGTGTGTGCAAGGACAAGCAGGCAGGCAGGCAGGCCTCGTCTGTCTGCGTCTGTCTGTCTGTCTGTCTGTGTCTGTCTGTCTGTCTGTCTGTCTGTCTGTCATCTGTAATCTCGTCAGGTCGCTCACTTTGGAGAGTGCGCCAGCGAAGAGGAGTGAGTGGTCTGCACTCAGCGCCAGCACATTCATGGCCGCCACCGGCAGCACGTCGTTCATCAGCGGCGCACGCACCGAAAACACCTGCCAGGGATGGAGGGATATATGAGCCAACACACGGGGTGTTGGTCACAACCAGGCCAACAGACAGAGAGAGAGAGAGATAAGAAACACACGTGCGATGGATGGGCGGATGAATGGATGGATGTGAGTGAGTCATCGACAGCGGCCAACTCTGAGGGCATTTGCAGCCACCCTCGGGCACCCACCTGATGCACCTCGAAGGGCTCCATCGGCCGCACAAGCAACAGATGAGATGAGATGAGATCACACGAGTTCGGTCGGACGGACGATGGTCACGCCATCTTCTGCCTGCCGTTTTCACAGGAGATCGGACTGGTGTGCCTCAGCCATGCCCAGGCCCTCCTCTTTTCAAGCTCGCAAACTGTTTCACGACGCTGAACACCCTGGGCCTCCTCCCCAGTCCTTTTTCGCTGTTCTCGGCCTCAGCGCCCCTCTCCCGCGCCCCCTTGACACATCTGAGCGCATATACATTCATTCAGGCGGCGAGCAGCTACCTGCGGTGTTCTGTCGCCAGCCCGTCGGCTGCCTAGAGCGTAGCCATAGCGCTCTTTCCCGACATATGACGGGCGACAATGTCTATTGTCAGCGTGAAGGACTGCCTGCGTTTCCGCCCGCCCCGACCAGGGACACGACGCGTTTGTACGACGGCTGCAGCGGGGTCATGGCACTGTGTGAGAGCCCGGCGACGTTCCTGGGGCGCCTTAAGACGACTGTCGTCTCGGGAATCTCATTCACTGTCGACCAGGTGCGGGCGGTGCCTGGGAGGAAGGGAGAACCGAGGCGAAGAGAAAACAGCTGCATCTGTTGTCCGTCTCTGGTCTCGTTGTGTGTGTGTGTATTGTAGAAGTACCGTGTTGGTTCTCTAATAGGCCGGGGTGCGTATGGTGCTGTGGTGGCGGCCACGGACACCGAGACGGGCGAGCAGGTCGCCATCAAGAAAATGGAGAGGTGCTTTGAGGTGAGCGAGTGACCAACGGAGGGAGGGAGGGAGGGAGCTCTCATGACAACACAGGGGCGCCCCTTCGTATGACCTCTGTCTGTGTGTGTGTGTGTGTTGTGTGTGTTCAGCATGAGTTGTTCACGAAGCGTACGTTGCGTGAGCTGCGGTTTCTGCGTCTGCTGCGGCACGAGAACATCCTGCCCTTCCGGGCCGCCTCGGTGTGCGGCGACCTGCACTCCTTCAGCGACGTCTACCTCATCTGCAGACTCTCGGACACCGACCTCGCCTCAATCATCAAATCGCGCCAGCCCCTCACAGAGGTGCGTCACCTCACCCCACACACACGACATACGACACACGACACACGACACACATACACGTGCGCAAAGGCTCTTTTGTCACCCATTTGTGTGTGTGTGTGGTGTGCTGTGTGTTGGTGTGGATGGCCATTGGCAGGACCACCATCGCTTCTTCGTGTATCAGATCCTGCGCGGTTTGAAGTACTGTCACAGCGCCGGCCTGCTGCACCGAGACCTGGTACACACTACACCCAACACCCAACACACGCACAGACAGGATAGAGAGAGACCCTCTCACTCAGCTCAGCCTGTTGTGTCGTCCATCCATTTATCCATCCTTCGATCGACAGAAGCCGCGCAACTTGTTGGTCAACAGCAACTGTGACCTCAACCTCTGCGACTTCGGCCTTGCTCGGCTCAAGGACTTCTCCCCGCTGCTGCAGCAACACCCAGACACCTCTGTGGGCGGCGGCGGTGGGGAGCAGCAGCGGGCCATGACCGACTACGTTTCCACCAGATGGTCAGTCAGTCAAATGGCGCGGTGCGATGCGTGTGGGTGCAATGAATCGGCATCGGTCCACCTTGGTGTGTGTGTGATGTGGTGGTATGTGGTGTGAGCAGGTATCGTGCGCCTGAGGTGTTGTGTTCGTGGCGTCAGTATGACGAGCAGGTTGACGTGTGGAGCGTCGGGTGCATCCTCGCAGAGCTCATGGGCTACAGGCCGCTGTTTCAGGGTAAATACCTGCTTTTTCCACACACACACACACGCCCCCCTCTGTGTCTGTCGACGTCCGTGTGTATGTGTGCTATTAGGTCGTGACACGACGGAGCAGTTGAGTCAAGTGGTTCAGCTGCTGGGCAAGCCCACCCCTTCGCAGATCGCCAAGATATCCAACGCCCGCTGCCGCGCATTCATCGAGGCACTCCCAGACATACCTCCCGTCAACCTCAGGCACGGACCCCCCCCCTCTCTCCCTCCACACCACACAGCATGTGAATGCCTGTGTCCGTGTGTGTGTTGCAGGTTGTTGTTTCCCGAAGCCAGCAGTGTTGCGATTGACTTGCTGCGCGGTCTGCTCAACTTCGACCCATCTGAGCGGCTGACCGTCAGCCAGGCGCTCGCCCACCCATTCCTCGACGGACTCTACTGCCCAACTGACGAGGTAGGTACACACTGTCACGGAACGGACCCTCACACAGACACACCAAGGAAAACACATGGCCATATGTGTGTGTTGGTGTATGTGTGTGTGTGTGTGTCAGCCCGAGCGTCTGCCCATCGATCCGTCTTTGTTTGCATTTGAGTTGGCACCCGACCCTCAACGGCTCCGGTGAGTGAGCACATTCCGGCGCTCCCCCCCACACACACGCATGTATCCTCATTTGTCTGTTGGATGTGTGTGTGTGGGTGGATCGAGCAGGTCTGAGATATGGCAAGAGGTGTTATTGTCGCAGCAGCCCTCCGGCTCGCCCACCGCCGCCACGCGGACCATCCCGCTCATCCCCCACGACCCCAGCAACGACTCCTGCATCATGGACATGGCCGCATCGCCCCACACACACGACCACGACCACAACCACCAGAACACCTTCTTCGCACCCCCCGGCGGCCCCCACATCAACAACATGAGCATGAGCCACTACTCGCCCTGCTCGATGGCGGACAACGACGACTCGTCTGGGGATTGCAGGGCCATTTCCATGATGCAGGTCGACGACATGCACACGAAGGGAGACGGCGGGGAGAGGGAGAGGGAGAGGGAGGAGCGCAGCAGTGGCGGCGGCAGGCGGGCTGCCCACGGGAACGGCCCGGTGCGGCTCATCGACAGCCTGACGAGGGGCGGCGGTGGGGCATGATGCATGAGACCACATACGAGGGTGGGGAGGGAGACGGGGAGGGGGAGGAGGATGGCGAGCGCGTCAGCCCCTCCCGCTCGAGCACTCTCTGCCCGGGCTGAGTGACGGGCGGGCTGGCGGTTTTGCATACCTACTATGCAATGCAATGCAATCAGTAAGTATATCCATCCTCCCATCTATCTTTCCATCCATCCATTGATGCATCGACCACACACATCGGATCCATCCAATCCAGGAAGGGATGAGGCATACCATACCTGGTGGGCTAATGAGTGTGTGCGTGAGTGAGGCCATGAAGGTGTGCGTCATTGGAATGGATCGGTGGGGAGGTGCCTGTCTGCCTGTCTGCCTGAGTTCCGGCGCAGCTGCTGATATTGCTGATGAATGGTGACTGCCATGATGACTGACTGGATGCTCAATCGGTAGGTGCCTGCCTGCCTGCCTGCCTCCCGGCGGCTGGCCCCTTTTCCCGTTTTGTTTTTTCGTTTTGGTTCATTTGCCTCGTTTGACGGACGGATGACATCCAGCTACTTGGCTAACAGCGCGGGACAGGAGGGATCGCTGGATACATGGATGGAGGGATGGACTGATGGATGGATGGATGCGATGCATGGGTGGCTTGCAGAGAGACGTAGCTGGGCACGTGCAGGCGAGAGCCATGCACTTTTTTCCCTGCTTAAGACAAGACGAAAGAGGAGAGAGAGAAGAGCGCGGTGAGTGCCGTCTGTCTCTGTCTGTCTGTCGGTCTGTCTTGTGTGGTGTGTGCGCTCGTGTGGGGGCCCTTCTCTCCTCTCGGACGAGCTCGCGCACCTCGATGATGCATCTCGCAGATGGGGATGCATTGTCCAGGTGCGCTTGGTGCGCCTGTGGGAAGGAGGCACCACACTGTTGTGCTGAGACTGTCCGATTGAGTGCCTACCTACTGGTATGTCTGTGTGTATACGTGTTGCATCTCAATCTGTCTGTATTTGTGTGGCTGACTGACTGACTGTCTCGTGTCTCGGTTGGTGCCTGCTCGTTGTTCGTCTGTCGTTTATCTTGGTCCCATTATATATTCCTTGGTGTGTGGATGACTGCGCATGGCCGACACACACACATACACACATACTAACTGACATACCTCTCTGGGAGTACACACGGGCGGGGCGGGGCGCCGCTTTATGCATTGGATCCATGGATGGATGGATGGGTAGATGGATGGATGGATGACGGACGGCGGCTGTGTCTGTGTGTATATAGAGTCTGAGTGCGTGCAGTGCAGATGGGCACCAGCGAACCGACAAACGAACGATGGGCCAGCTGGCTTTTTCTGCGTGCGGCGGTGGGCCAATCTGCCCGCCATCGGCACAACACGTGTGTGTATGTGGGTGTGGGTGTACAGGACTCTCGATAGATAGACAGACGACAGGATTTTTTCTAACTTATCCTCGTCTGTCTATGGTTGATTTGTTGCACCCACCCTTGCACCGCACCCTCCCTGCAGCTGCTGCTGTGTTCCTTTCCTTTCTTTCGTTTCCTTTCTCACCACATCCATCCATCCATCCATTCATTGTTCCACTCCCCCGCTCAAGTCAGTCACTCGTTTGGCAATTTTGTTTTGTCGCATTCTTGTGTGTTTGCCTCACCCCCACGCACCCCCATGGCCAATAGATAGATCACTGGGAGGGAGGGAGGGAGGGTTGGGGCATTCCATCCATCTGTGTGTGTGGTGTAACTTTCTAACAGCTGCCGTGACGTTAATGCTGCCTGACTGTCTGTCTGTCTGCCTGGGCAACGGCGTTGAGCCAGCCAACCGACAGTGTGGTGTGCTGTCTGCCGACATACATAGCCAGAAGCGAATTTGTGGACAGGGCAGAACGCTCCACACCCACACTCACACCCACACTCACTCTCATAGCACACACAAGCGCACACACGTGTTCCCGAAGGGAAGAGACACAGGCGAGAGGAGAGAGGGATGGGGAGAGAGATTGCCTGCGGTGGGTGATTTGTGGTGAGAGTGATGGGGTGGTTTTGATGCCTGCCTGCCGCCCATGTCATGTGTGACACACTGACTGAGCCCATTGCCGGCTTGGTTTTGCCCTTTTGATAAGCTAAGCTCGTGGATAAATACGAGAGCTGACTGGCCCCTTCGCCAGTGCATCTGGCGCTGGATTATCGTTGTGATTATGGCTGTGCGGGAATTCGCATACTGCTGCTGCTGCGAGTATTATAGCTGGGTATTGTCTGTGTGATGTCCACCCCTCCTCTCATTCCTTGTGTGTGCGTGCGGTGCCCGTCCCACCCCCACCCTGAACCCCCCACCACCCCCTCTCACCTCAGCTCACCTCAGCTCAGCTCAGCTCACCCAATGGCAGTTTTTCAACCACCAGCAGCATCAACCACATGCTGCTGGACTGCCTGCCTGTCTACCTTCCTGTCTGTCTGCCTTGTTGGCGTGTTGGGAGAGAGAGAGGGGGGGGGGGTTGAAGAAGGTGATGGGGCATTTTTCACCTCGCTATGGATGGTTGGAGGGAGGGGTCGATCCTGAGCGGCGGCATGTGTGTCTGCCTGATGCTCGAGTATTACACACACACGTGATGTCTGTCTGGTGTTGAGAGCGTATGACGTACGTGTCGATTGACCAGCAAGTGAGAGAGAGAGGGGCGGAAGAGAGGGAGAGAGGGAGGGCCTGCATACCCACACAGGTGCACACAGGAGGGGAGGGGGACGGACTCATGAGGTTTGTTGCCTGTTTGTGCGTGTGGTGCATCCATCCAATGCGTGTCGATGGAATTGGCTCGGTGCCGGGCATGTGTGCGTGCATCATGGCATGCATGACACACGTGCAAGCGGCCGAGAGCTCTCTACCTCGTTAATAGATAGCCACACCACCTGCCACACACACATGTCTCTCTCTCTCTGTCTCTCTCTGACGGTCTGTAATTCATTCATTCCATGTGTGGAGGGGGAGCTACATGAGTATGTGTCTGTGTCCAATATTGAACACAGCCGTATCGGATCGCTTTACACTTTTGCATGTTTTTGTTTGAATCAAGGTCGGAAGGTTCAGCGACGATGAAACCTACAAGTTTACAACCTGGCCGCAAAACGCTTTGTTGGCCGCGAACCCTTGGAGCTGTTTTGCTGTTTTTCTCCATCCCCCGCCGCATATCGTCACTTCCCACGGGCTGTTTGCTCACCGGTCCCGTCGCGAGTGTCATGGCTGATAAAGAGAAAGACACCCGGCTGTGAGCGCAACATCAGAGGAGGAAGGCTCTGCATCCATGGATACCCACGGTAGGCCGGCAGGAGAGGGATGCGTGGATGGATGGACGTATCTGTGGCTTAAATGGGGTGGGGGGAACGGATGCATGGCATGAGATGAATTACATATTGCATTGTGGGTGCAGATGTGGCCAAGGCGGCTGGCGGGTTGAAAGATCTACATGGCCACTTCAAGAGGAGTTTGTCGCTCAAACACGGTGGTAAAGAGACCAGGAAGCTGCGCGCACCTGCCATTTGCCGCGGGCTGCGTGTTCCCCCGTGGTGCAGGTGGAGGTGAGGCTGTCGAGAGTGCTCCGATGACCGAGGCCAAGGACGGTAGGCATACATACCGCAATGACGCCGTTTACACTGTTTTAAAACACAGGTACCCGGCGCATTCTCATGGCCCAGAAGGAACTCGCGCCCAAGGATTCCGAGTAAGTGCGAAGGAAGAGACACCACAACCACAGTAACTATACACAGACACACGCCAACGTGATGTGTGCGTGGCTTCTTCAGCAAGGCATTCCGTGCGTCTCTGCGGGTGTTCGAAAGCAGCACAGGGGACGAGGTACGCGAGCAGCTGCCTCGTGTGCCCTGCACTGCAACATCTGTGTGTTGTGTTGTGTTGTGTTGTTTCCACAGGGGCTATTTGTGACCGATCCATGCTCGTTTCTGGCGTTCTACTATGAAGGCAGTCCGGAGGACACAACACTACACCACACCACACTGCCGCCATCGATTGTCACTGCTTCTTTCAGCCAACGCGGTCCGCCACATGGCCTCGTCTGACATCAGCAAAATCGTCCGCCGCAGTGCAAAGTGAGTGCGGGTCGTGTCGTGTGTCACCATGCATGTCAGTCAGCTGCAGGCCACCCATCTCTCGCGTGTGTGTATTGTATGTGTGTGTGTGTGTCAGAGAGATGGTCGTTAACTTCCACACAGGGCCCCCTGTGATCATCAACTTCAAGAGCGAGGCAAGTGCACTGCACACCTTCCTGCCTCCCCACTGCGGATCTCATCCCGCCGACCGATCTGTGTGCGCATGGCGTCAGGATGTCGATGAGGTGTGCCGGTGGGTGCAGAAGCGCGTGTCGGACAAAAGCACGGTGCAGCACTGGTTCCCTGTCGTCGATGACCCGTCCTACCAGCTCTCTACTGGTGGGCAGACCGCATGTACCACATGGAGAAGACCGAGACAGACGTTCTTGTGTTGGATTGCTCTCTCAGGTTCGCGTGAGATGTCTGTGTCTAGCTCTGCAGAGGCCAGCGGTACATACGCGCACACGGTGGCATGAAAGCAGAGGAAACAGACGGATGCTTTGCTTTGTTGCGTTGTGCTATACAGGCACTTCTGGCCGCCTGTACGTTCGTTGCCGACCTACTGCACGAGAGCCAAGTGTGATGCACGCACCTTGTTGTTCTTTCTCTCGTGCCGTTCAGGGCGTATCCGTGTGCGATCCGCCCCAAACAACACGTGACGTACCATGTTAGCCAGCTGAAGACATCCTTGAGCACTCGGCACGAATGGATGTCTGCTCACATCACATCAGGCCACTGTTCGTGCCGATGACACGGGCCTCGCGTGCACGGGTGAGGGGACCGGCAGCATGTCCACATCCCCTGCGTCTCTTTCCTGCACAGGTACAACTACAGACGACCACTCAATGTTTCTGCCGTACGCGAAGGTCGCCCAGTCTCAAAGAAGAATCTGTGAGCCGCTCGCTACGCTCCGCACACAGTCACAGAGACACACGCCTCCCTCCACGTGCGTGCCGTGCTGCATTCAGGTCGCTGGTGCGTATGGAAATCGACGGCACCTTCAAAACATTCAACTTCTTCGAATCGGTGACAAACCACCGTATCCAACACGACATGTGACACCAAACCAACACGCATGCCTGGGGTGTGCCCTTGTGTGCACTCAGCAACACATCGAGAGCATTCTGAGTGATGTCATGGCCAAGGTGGGCTCGTCCATCCATCCATCATAGCAACACGAAAATGTAGATGACTGATAGATCGATGCCGCCCTCTGTGTGTGTCTGCAGCACGCTGCTTCGCACATCTACTTCGATTTGGGTGGCGGTAACCGATTGACAGACAAACAGAGAGACAGCCGACCCCAACAAGAGCCTTTTGCCCTCATTCTCTGTGTCTCCAGAACAGCCGGAGGCGCTCAGACTCTCTGCCGTGTCCAAGTTCCAACTCGCCGAGGCCAACGTCAAGAGCACCCCAAAGGCAAACGACACTGCCGGTACGTAGGAGGATCTAGCGTAGGATCAGAGCTCTCATATGTAGCTTCCGCTGTTTCCCCGTTCTGAAGGTTCTGTCGATCATTCTGCTGGTGCTGCTGCTGGTGCTTCTTCCTCCCCGCCCCTGCCTCCCGCCCCCGCCCCCGCCCCCGCCCGTCGCTGATTCTGATGCGGACCTGTTGAAGATGGGCTTCCACGCCGTGCAGGCCGACCCATCGATGGCCCTCGGCTATGAGCGGCAAGTCAAGCAGACGCAGATCCGCCTCGCGACACTCAAGGAGGAAGAGGGGGAGGGGGTGGGGGAGGGCGAGGATGAGGGGCTCCCGTCGCTGATGGACATACTCAAGAAGAATAAGAAGGCAGGGGAGGAATGAACTCGTCCGAGCGTGAGGATGAGAGAACAAGAGGGGGACTGAGCAGCCACGCATGACACACACACACACACACACACAACCAACCAAGGGGGTGGATGTAGTGAGTGTCGTGACTCGTGAGGTTTTCCTTCTCTATGCTCTGTCGGCCTGCATAGCGCCATGTGCCCATGTTGTGCATGTATGGCGTGAGTCGTAGAAAGGTGTTCTCTCCCTCCCTGACTGACCGACTCGATATCTGCATTGATCTCTCATGAGTCGACTCTCGAACCACGGTGTCTCAACATCAACCAATCGGTGGGTGCATCTTCGCAGAGACTGATCATGATGGATGCACACAGAAAGATCGATCACCGTTGTGAGTGCGTGCGTGAGAAGGCTCACAGACCATTCAGACCACTCAGCCGCCTCCATGTCAAGGCGGCCAGCTGCCCGCGTGGAGTGCATTTTCTAATTTGGCTGCATCGCTGCGGCAAGGGGCCGTCCTCGCTTCATGCCGCAGGGACGGCCATGAAGTTAAGCCTCCACGCATGCCGTTAAGCTCTGCCGATGAGTTCAAGGCGCTCCCGATGGACTGAACATTGCAAATGACCAGCAACCTATCTGCAATCACCAGAGCACAGCGTATTGCGCCACACCAGGCCCTCCAAAGCCTTGGAAGGAGGCGGCCGTGGACGATCGTCGACGAGCTTGCAGATGTGCGAGCTTCAGTGATGAGTGAGATGATAAAGATGAAGATGACGACGATGCGAGCGACGATGCATCGTGAGCAGCAGCCCTTTCCACGGCCGCATTCGCCGGAGCCGCCAAGGAAACCACGGCGCCGGAGATGGCGCAACTTCAACGTGGACAGCGGCGATGAAGGCGATTGCGGCGTCGTGGAAAGGAGCTGCCCATTTCGCTGCAGCAGAGCAGGCAGTCGGCCGGTGCACGTGGGATTCCCGTGTGCACCTGTCGGCTGCTGCTTCAGCGGCGCGTGTCGGCGCCATGTTCCCAAGGACCGCTCCGGACACCCCGAGCCCCCTTCTCACCCCCCTCACCCCTCTCACCCCCCACAGCCACCACCACGGCCACACCCTGCCATGGCGTTCCCCCCACCCCCACCCCTTCCGTATTTCTTGCCGCCCTGCTTCATGCCACAGGGCATGTATCTGCCGCCGCATCACCTGATGATGCTGCCGCCGCCGGTGCCAATAGCAGCAGCAGCCAGCTCAAGGGCCGCGGGTGCGCATCCGATGCCCACGTCAGCCGAGGAGGTGATGCGGGCGCACGAGAGCCACATGAGCATTGGGAGGGAGGTCGGGCCGCCCAAGGCGTCGAGTGGTGTGGGGCCACGGCCGCCGACGATCGTCTTACCGAGGAGCCGCGGGAAGAGGACACCCCCCGCATCCGCCACGGGTGGCACGCAGATCGCCGACGACAAGAACAATCAGCATGGCAAGCAATGGGAAGCGATCAAAAAGCAGTCCACTCCACTCATCTCTCGTGTGTCATGGTTTGCCATCAGGTTCGTTCGCTGCAGCAGCAGCAGCAGCAGCTGCGTCTAGCGGTGGTCCAGCCCCATCCCTCCCCCTCCCCCACCCCTCTCACCTTTATCCCATTCCCACCAGTGGCGCCACTTCAGCGCATGTGTGTGCCATGCTGAGCCAGCCCTCGCACCTCACCGTCCTGTCATCCGCCGACAGACACACACCTGCCCCGCGAGGCAGCACCAACGGGGCAGCTCAGCTGATGGAGAGCCGCGTTGGGAACGCAGAGAGTCGTGGCGGACATGCGGGGGGGTCCTCAGCCTCCGCTAACGTTGCCATGCAGCAGCACGACTCCCCTGCGCGGCGCCGGGGAGTAGCCGGAGGGCATGATCCCGTTGTTGTTGTCGAAGGCGGTGTCCACATGGGCCGTTTCGGGACTCCAGTGCCCTCATCGCAGCTGCATAACCATCATGACGTAAGGAGGGAGGGAGGGGGGAGGCATTAGTGGATGGGCTCATGCACACGCCCATCGGTGTTGCTTTCTTCCCTCCCTCAGGTAGACGCGCCGATGTCTCTCTTAGCGCCCTCAAGGATTCCCGTGTTGCCGCCCTCAAAAGATCCGGTTGAGGTGGGCGTCGTCCCCGGCAACGACGCCAACTGCACAACGTCACCCGCACACCCCGAGCCCCCTTCTCACCCCCCACAGCCGCCACAGCCACACCCAGCCATGGCGTTCTCCCCACCACAACATCATCCCTTCTTCTTCCCGCCCTTATTCATGCCGCCACAGGGCATGTATCTGCCGCCGCATCACCTGATGATGCAACCGCCGCCGGTGCCAATGGCAGCAGCAGCCAGCTCGATGGGCGCGGGTGGGCATCCGATGCCCACGTCAGCCGAGGAGGTGATGCGGGCGCACGAGAGCCACATGAGCATTGGGAGGGAGGTCGGGCCGCCCAAGGCGTCAGGTGGTGTGGGGCCACGGCCGCCCACCATCGTCTCACCGAGGAGCCGCGGGAAGAGGACACCGCCCGCATCCGCCACGGGTGGCACGCAGATCGCCGACGACAAGAACAATCAGCGTGGTAAGCAATGGGAAGCGATCGAAAAGCAGTCCACTCCACTCATCTCTCGTGTGTCATAGTGTGCCCTCAGGTTCGTTCTCTGCAGCTGCGTCTAGCGGTGGTCCAGCCCCATCCCTCCCCCTCCCCCACCCCTCTCACCTTTATCCCATTCCCACCAGTGGCGCCACTTCAGCGCATGTGTGTGCCATGCTGAGCCAGCCCTCGCACCTCCCCGTCCTGTCATCCGCCGACAGACACACACCTGACCCGCGAGGCAGCACCAACGGGGCAGCTCAGCTGATGGAGAGCCGCGTTGGGAACGCAGAGAGTCGTGGCGGACATGCGGGGGGGTCCTCAGCCTCCGCTAACGTTGCCATGCAGCA